ATCTCCACACAATAACACCTGCGATATATCTCCACACAAACACACCTGCGATATAACTCCACACAATAACACCTGCGATATATCTCCACACAATAACACCTGCGATATATCTCCGCACAATAACACCTGCCATATCTCCACACAATAACACCTGCGATATATCTCCACACAATAACACCTGCCATATATCTCCACACAATAACACCTGCCATATATCTCCACACAATAACACCTGCGATATATCTCCACACAATAACACCTGCGATATATCTCCACACAAACACACCTGCCATATATCTCCACACAATAACACCTGCGATATATCTCCACACAATAACACCTGCGATATATCTCCACACAAACCCACCTGCGATATATCTCCACACAATAACACCTGCGATATATCATCACACAATAACACCTGCGATATATCTCCACACAATAACACCTGCGATATATCTCCACACAATAACACCTGCGATATATCATCACACAATAACACCTGCGATATATCTCCACACAATAACACCTGCGATATATCTCCACACAATAACACCTGCGATATATCTCCACACAATAACACCTGCGATATATCTCCGCACAATAACACCTGCGATATATCTCCGCACAATAACACCTGCGATATATCTCCACACAATAACACCTGCCATATATATCCCCACACAAACCCACCTGCGATATATCTCCACACAACCAGCAACGCACCTCACGATATATCTCCACACAACCAACACCCATAGTATATCTCCAGCACAATAACACCTAGATATATCTCCACGCAATAACACCCCTGCGATATATCTCCACACAATAACACCTGCGATATATCTCCACACAAACACACCTGCGATATATCATCACACAATAACACCTGCGATATATCTCCGCACAATAACACCTGCCATATCTCCACACAATAACACCTGCCATATCTCCACACAATAACACCTGCCATATCTCCACACAATAACACCTGCGATATATCTCCACACAAACCCACCTGCGATATATCTCCACACAAACCCACCTGCGATATATCTCCACACAATAACACCTGCGATATATATATATCCACACAATAACACCGGCCATACAAACACATCATCGGAATATATCCACGCAGACACACTACCACAAGGTAGGAAACAAGCAATACACATATTAAATTAAGAGACCATTACTGATTCTGGTAGAATCCCGTCCTGATTATCATGGGCAGCTTTACACTCAGACGGCACCTGTTTTGCGCAGGCACTTACCTGGATCTGGATCGTAATTGGTTCAATGATTTTAAGGCTGTTTTTATCAAAGGGGTCAAACAGCTCATCCCTCATAATATCCGGCTGGAGGACGTACCCACTCTGTCCACCAAGCATGAACAGGGATTGGTTCAGCTGCATCGGTTTGTCTGGAAGAGAGTAAACAGTCACACATCGCCCAGCCTATAGCTAATTATCCCATACATACAGCATCGCCCAGCCTATAGCTAATTACCCCATACATATAGAATTACCCAGCCTATAGCTAATTACCTCGTACATACAGAATTAACCAGCCTATAGCTAATTACCCCATACATATAGAATTAACCAGCCTATAGCTAATTACCCCATACATACAGAATTAACCAGCCTATAGCTAATTACCTCATACATACAGAATTAACCAGCCTATAGCTAATTACCCCATACATATAGAATTACCCAGCCTATAGCTAATTACCTCATACATACAGAATTAACCAGCCTATAGCTAATTACCCCATACATACAGAATTAACCAGCCTATAGCTAATTACCTCATACATACAGAATTAACCAGCCTATAGCTAATTACCTCATACATACAGAATTACCCAGCCTATAGCTAATTACCCCATACATACAGAATTAACCAGCCTATAGCTAATTACCCCATACGTACAGCATTGCCCAGCCTATAGCTAATTACCCCATACGTACAGCATTGCCCAGCCTATAGCTAATAGTCCATACATACAGAATTAACCAGCCTATAGCTAATTACCCCATACATACAGCATTACCCAGCCTATAGCTAATTACCCCATATGTACAGCATTTCCCAGCCTATAGCTAATAGTCCATACATACAGAATTAACCAGCCTATAGCTAATTACCCCATACATACAGCATTACCCAGCCTATAGCTAATTACCCCATACATACAGCATTACCCAGCCTATAGCTAATTACCCCATACGTACAGCATTGCCCAGCCTATAGCTAATTACCCCATATGTACAGCATTGCCCAGCCTATAGCTAATAGTCCATACATACAGAATTAACCAGCCTATAGCTAATTACCCCATACATACAGCATTACCCAGCCTATAGCTAATAGTCCATACATACAGAATTACCCAGCCTATAGCTAATTACCTCATACATACAGCATTAACCTGCCTATAGCTAATAGTCCAAACATACAACATTACCCAGCCTATAGCTAATTACCCCATACATACAGCATTACCCAACCTATAGTTAATAGTCCATACATACAGAATTACCCAGCCTATAGCTAATTACCTCATACATACAGCATTACCCAGCCTATAGCTAATAGTCCATACATATAGAATTACCCTGCCTATAGCCAATAGTCCATACATACAGCATTACCCTGCTCATAGCTAATAGTCCATACATGCAGCTTTACCCTGATTATAGCTAATAGTCCATACATACAGCATTACCCAACCTATAGCTAATTATTCCATACATACAGCATTACCCAGCCTATAGCTAATTATCCCATACATACAGCATTGCCCAGCCTATAGCTAATAGTCCATACATACAGAATTACCCAGCCTATAGCTAATTACCTCATACATACAGCATTAACCTGCCTATAGCTAATAGTCCAAACATACAACATTACCCAGCCTATAGCTAATTACCCCATACATACAGCACTACCCAGCCTATAGCTAATTACCCCATACATACAGCATTACCCAACCTATAGCTAATAGTCCATACATACAGAATTACCCAGCCTATAGCTAATTACCCCATACGTACAGAATTGCCCAGCCTATAGCTAATAGTCCATATATACAGAATTACCCAGCCTATAGCTAATAGTCCATACGTACAACATTACCCAGCCTATAGCTAATAGTCCATACATACAGAATTACCCAGCCTATAGCTAATTACCCCATACATACAGCATTACCCAACCTATAGCTAATTACCCCATACATACAGCATTGCCCACCCTATAGCTAATTACCTCATACATACAGCATTAACCTGCCTATAGCTAATAGTCCATACATACAGCATTACCCAGCCTATAGCTAATAGTCCATACATACAGCATTACCCAGCCTATAGCTCATTACCTCATACATACAGCATTACCCAGCCTATAGCTAATAGTCCATACATACAGCATTACCCAGCCTATAGCTAATAGTCCATACATACAGCATTACCCAGCCTATAGCTCATTACCTCATACATACAGCATTACCCAGCCTATAGCTAATAGTCCATACATACAGCATTACCCAGCCTATAGCTAATAGTCCATACATACAGCATTACCCAGCCTATAGCTCATTACCTCATACATACAGCATTACCCAGCCTATAGCTAATAGTCCATACATACAGCATTACCCAGCCTATAGCTAATAGTCCATACATACAGCATTACCCAGCCTATAGCTAATAGTCCATACATACAGCATACAGATGATTACTCTACATATACTGCATTACCCTGCCTGGTGGCTGCTATTTGGCGCAATGCATTAAGCTAGATTGTTACCTGGGGTCTGGAAGTTTAAAGCCACCAGTTGGCTGCCACAGATCCACATGGGCAGTGGGTCGTAGTTGGAAGAGTCCAGTCGCTGACCCTTGGGGTAGACTCGGCTCAGCTGACGCCGATTATACTGAAGGAATTTCTTGCCCTTGCTGCGATTGGCGTACTTTTCTGCCTTGGTCTCAGGGAATGAGGACATGTCTCGGTAGCAAGCCTTTTCCGTGCCAATCTCTGCAGGAGGAAGGGTGCCACAAAGGGGTTTGGATGTCAGTCCTCTCCTCTACAAAGCTTCAGAC